AATCAAGTATTGCTTTTTTAGGTATATATTTTTGCACTTTCTATTTGCATGGGTACCGGCCCCATATGGGTTTAGATATTAAAAAAAAAACTCAGAAAAGAAGCTTAAATTGTGTTTTTGCCTTATAGATACTTCACTACAATGGGAAAGGTCCAATTAAAGTTTAATTTCATGAAAACGCTTTAGGAGTGTTATTTATTTCTTGTTAACTCTATTTAGAATCACAGTTGAAATAAAAATCTATGTTAAAACTGATCACTGTGTGTAACCCAAAAACTAGTCCCTGCTCTAATTTTGTAGTGATGTGGACAGCCCAATTTTAGCGTGGTGTTGGGTCCCATTCAAATCAAGACCCGTTGGGAACCACTGTATTAGAAAACCAATCTTTGCTTTTTGATGCTTTGTATGTTATGGATGCTAAGCAGGCCCAGCAGTTCTCATTAGATTGAAAATGTGAGGCTGATCTTAAACAGTAAGTAGTTTTTTTTTATGTAATACACCATTCTCTTGGTGTACTGTAATCTATGCATGCCCTGATTTATTAGCCCAGCCCATCTAGGGCTCTTGACAAACCTTTGTGTATTTTTGTGCACTTTTTACTGTGGAGTGTGCATGGCCTATATCTGCTTAAACCAGAGAAGATAGATCTTCGAGATGTGTACATGTTGTGGTTCATCATCACGAATGATCAGCTGTTAATGGGTTTGTGGCAATCTCGTTAACATTTTTACAGGCTATTGGGTAACATATGTCATTCAGGGTTTATTAAACACGCTTGGTAGTGTATAACATGTCTTCATTGAAAATACCTGTCAAAATCACATGAAACAATACAAATGTTTAGAAGTAATGAGTAACAGCATGTATTATAAAATCATAGTCAATGCTTAACAGATATTACACAGACTTGACTTGATTCCTGCAACATCAATCGTCAGTCTAATTCAAAGAAATCCAATTGTGACAATTAAAAAGATGGATGCCATTATGCTGTAAAATTAGTTTTAAATTCAATATTCCATTTCAGAGTTCTGTTTAATTGTATATTCAAATGGCAGAGAGACTCTAGGCTCTGTGTAGAACCAAATGGGCCTCATTATGAAACTTGAGCAAAATTATTTTTTGTGCAAATTGTTTGCAAAGCCATTCTGACTCAAATTTACACAATCATGGATGTGTTCATATTTTGGCATATCACCAGTTAGATTATTTTGGATTTATGCAGTCCGTTAAAGTCTGAGAAGGGAGTTGGCAAGATCACAGCGCACATGTGACTCATTGGTGAGGATTATGTTAATTTTGAATGAGCTTGCATTCATGGGGTTGAGTTGAGGTTGGGTCTTGACAAAAATATTTGTATCTGATATTAGGGTTAGCTTTGGTTTGGGTTGTAGAAATTTAACAGATTAAAGGTGCAGTAATCCATTTCCGAGAAATTTGAAATTGACGCCCAAAAAAGTACACCACTACCCAATGGGCTCTATGCACGGCGGTATTTCCGGTGAAGGATTAGGGATGCTCGATAACTTCCGCCGATCGTAGAGTCCAATGCAATAGCGAGAATTTATATTGAATTTTATACTCCATGGTTATACTAAAGAAACGTTAGTCACAAAAACAGATAAAACAGACACCCCTCGTTGTGTTTATGCTTCTTTTTAAAATTATATTAAATAAATATAACTATATATAAAATTACATCTAAACGTATGTACGTTTCATTTCAAAGGCTGGAGGACAGTAAATTTTGAAGACTCTGCCATAATCCCGTTTTCCTCGGTCTTCCTCCGCTTTAATCTCCACAACCGGAAATGGACGAGCATCCTTGCGTCAAATGCGGAATTTATGCGTGCATATAGCCCATAGAAACACTCCCCTCCCTTTATTGCAGCGCCCTCAATAAAACACACTGTCTAGCAACAATTGTATACAACAGCATATATTGGTTCTATGAAACATAGCAAAACCAATGTTACTCGTGTATTGAGCAGAACCAAAGAAACCCGGCATCTGTTTTTTGGCCTTGACACTCAGTAATCTTTCCAGCACTGGGAAGCTTTTCCAATGTAAATGCAGGTCTTAGCTCTTGCCTTCTTTTTCCAATTATATTCCTCTGACCTTTTTAATATCTCAGCCATTTCTCTTTCTGCAGTCTTTCTACAAATATCCTGCTTATAATTCTCTCTCCTTCCCTATCATATCGTGTATACTACAGTGGGGCCAAAAAGTATTTAGTCAGCCACTGATTGTGCAAGTTCTCCTACTTAGAATAATGAGAGAGGTCTGTAAATTTCATCATAGGTACACTTCAACTATGAGAGACAAAATGAGAAAAAAAAAATCCAGGAATTCACATTGTAGGATTTTTAAAGAATTTATCTGTAAATTATGGTGGAAAATAAGTATTTGGTCACCCACAAACCAGCTAGATGTCTGGCTCTCACAGACCTGTAACTTCTCCTTTAAGAGGCTCCTCTGTCCTCCACTCGTTCCCTGTATTATTGGCACCTGTTTGAACCCGTTATCTGTATAAAAGACACCTGTCCACAGCCTTAAACATTCACACTCCAAACTCAACCATGGCCAAGACCAAAGAGCTGTCGAAGGACACCAGGAAGAAAATTGTAGACCTGCACCAAGCTGGGAAGAGTTAATCTACAACAGGCAAGCAGCTTGGTGTGAAGAAATCAACTGTGGGAGCAAATATGAGATATCATAATATCATAAGAACGGTGAGCAAAAATACCAGAACTACACGGAGGGACCTGATGAATGACCTGCAGAGAGCTGGGACCAAAGTAACAAAGGCTACCTTAAGTAACACACTACACCGAGAGGGACTCTAATCCTGCAGTGCCTGGCGTGTCCCCCTGCTTAAGCCAATACATGTCCAGGCCCGTCTGAAGTTTGCCAGAGAGCATATGGATGATCCAGAAGAGGATTGGGAGAATATCATGTGGTCAGATGAAACCAAAATAGAACTTTTTGGTAAAAACTCAACTCGTCGTGTTTGGAGGAAGAAGAATGCTGAGTTGCATCCCAAGAATACCACACCTACTGTGAGGCATCATGCTTTGGGGCTGTTTTTCTGCAAAGGGGACAGGAAAACTGATCCGTGTTGAGGGAAGAATGAACGGGGCCATGTATTGTGAGATTTTAAGCCAAAACCTCCTTCCATCAGTGAGAGCCTTGAAGATGAAACGTGGCTGGATCTTCCAGCATGACAATGATCCCAAACACACCGCCGGGCAACGAAGGGGTGGCTCCGTAAAAAGCATTTCAAGGTCCTGAAGTGACCTAGCCAGTCTCCAGACCTCAACCCCATAGAAAGTTTGTGGAGTCCGTGTTGCCCAGCGACAGCCCCGAAACATCACTGCTCTAGAGGAGATCTGCATGGAGGAATGGGCCAAAATACCAGCTATAGTGTGTGCAAACCTGGTGAAGACTTACAGGAAACGTTTGACCTCTGTCATTGCCAACAAAGGTTATGTTACAAAGTATTGAGTTGAACTTTTGTTATTGACCAAATACTTATTTTCCACCATTTTCTTTAAAAATCCTACAATGTGATTTCCTGGATTTTTTTTTTTTTTTTTTTCATTTTGCATCTCATAGTTGAAGTGTACCTTTGATGAAAATTACTTGCACAATCAGTGGCTGACTACATACTTTTTGGCCCCACTGTATGCGCCGATTGTTGATTGGCTACAAAAGTTTTGTGGTGCTTTGTGGATTGGTCAATCTCCTATTTACACAGCCATGACTGAGCACATTTTTTCAAGCGCACACACAGAACAGATGTCCAGCAAATATTCACAAAAATGTTTCGATTTAATTTTTCAACAGCATTTCTCAGAAATCGCTTACCACACATTTAATTTGAGCACTTGGAGTATATGTAATACATGCTACAGAATGTGCAATTTTGGCAATCCTATAAGATCATTACAAATCACACTGTGGGACATGGATCTAATAAACTTGGGTATGACATGTATGTAGACTGTAAGATGATGAGACCTATTGAATTGTGGGCTACGACACAAGTTAGTAATTGAATAATAAAATATCATCAGAATGAGCTAGTAGTAAACAAGATGAATCGCACTTTGGCAAATGTGCTTTTTATTTGCGCTGAAAAAAAGAGGAGGAAGCGAAAGAGGAGAATATGGACACGGTCATTGCTAGGAAAAAAAAGGGCCAACTTGGCATGCAATTTTGTAAATGGAGCTTGAGGTAAGTTTTAAGAGTAGTTTTAAGTTTTTGTCGTGTTGATCAATACACCACTTCATGTTGCAGTTTTATTGTCTATTCAGCAGACCATAGGAGCATCAAAAACATTTAGAGATGATCATGCTAAATTTCTGACACTGTCACAAAAAATCATACAATGTGTACCAAGCATTACAGTTGGAGGTTGGGAATTGTTAGAGGTAAGGATTGGGTTTGAAAGGTTCAAAAAGTGGTTAGGGCCGAAGGTTGGAATCAAGAAATTCGGGTTAAGGTTAGTTTAGAGTCAAGTTTTGAAATAGAGGTTTGAGTTTAGAGTTTGCATTTAATGTTACAGGTTAGGGTAACTTCTGAATAGGAGGTAGGGCCATGGGTTAGGATCAGGGTTGGGGTCAGATGTATGCATTACAAGTAGGGATTCAATGGAGAAATTAGATGAGTTTTAGTCAGAGGAGCTCATTCCTGTACCTGAAGATTGACCTTTCTATAGAGTTCCAGTCTTGCTCCAATACACCTGTTTGCGATTATCAAGTGTTCCTGAAGATCCTAATTTTCTGTTTCAGGTACAATTGAATAGAATTGGAGGGGAACTTTGCAGGAAGATATATTCCAGGAACAGGACTGAGTACCCCAGGTTTTAAAATGTTGGTCCAGGAGCACATTCAAACTGGCAAATTAACAATAACCTTGAATAATGTTCAATGCAACTCTGAATTACACCACATTATTTTATTTTGTATAGTTATGATATAAGGCTGTTTATGACATCCTTTGTTTATGATGTCATTGTTTACGTGTAACGCGAATAACAGTATGCATACAGGATTTGTACAAAACATGTATGTAACATAGATTTGGATCACACTTTTCTGTAATAAAATATTGATTGTATCTTTTAAATTAAATAACTGATGTATTCTTTGACTTCATTGACCACTATTTACATTTATGATACTGAACTCAAAAAGTTACAGCTTTACTTGAACTTGATTAGTTTCATTATGGTCAAAGGTAGCATTAGTATAAGCATTCTCCTGCAGGTTATCATTACTGCTCTTGACCATCTCCATTTTTATGACACCTTCCTGGTCTGGATGTTTCTCCCATGCCTTGCCAAATTCTCCCAAATCCTAATAGAAGCAAATAAAGGTTCAGTTTGCATTCAGACAACTCAAAGGCACATTCTAAAAGACGCTCTGTACCTCTTTGTCTTCACTAAAATCTGCGTGTATGAATCTCTCGGAGCAGAAGCAGACCACGTCCTTCAGTGATCGAGTCATTCCTGGCTTCAACTTTTTGGGGTCCATTGGTCCTGCAAACACCAGAATTGCAGTTATATACAAAAATGTATCTAATTTCTCAAAATAAAACTCCTTTCTCAGTTCACCCAGACAATTTATTGAGCAGAAAACTGGTACATACAGAAAACATACTGGTTGTAATATCAGTCACAAGAGCTGGCAGTTTGGCATCGAGACTGCTTGGCCCAGTGTTGTGGCACGACCAACTATGCAATGCTCCACCCCGTTATCTCAGGGAACTGAGTTTACATTAATAACCCAAATGCCCCCTTTTGATACGGTTCACTCACATTGCATCAGTTGCTGACACTATGGGGAACACAATCTAATTGTAGCGTGCTACAATCGCAGAACCGAGACCGTCCTGCTAGCCCAGAATGAAGGCACTTGGGGCCAGGGCACTTATTATTCTTATAACCAGTGGTAAAGCAGGTGAAGATCACAGGTTCTGTCCTGTTCTGTCCATGATCACAGGTTCTGCCTTGGACTGGGGCTGAGGAGGCGTAAATGCTGGACTTGTGAGATTCCTGAATTATCTCGATGACTGGCTGATCCTAGCTCTCTCTCGAGACCAGGTTTGCGAACACAGGGACCTACGGGTCAACTGGGAGAAGAGCAAACTTTGCCCCATGCAGAGGATCTCTTCTCTAGGTATGTAGATCGACTCGGTCACCATGAGCACAGCTTACGAGCGAGCGCATGCAGTCACTGCGGACTTGCCTGAGACAGTTCAAGGGCAAGAGGGCGGTTCCACTGAAATTTTTTCAGAGGCTCCTGGGGCATATGGTATCCACAGCAATGCTGCTTGGATTGATTCATATGAGACTGCTTCAGCACTGGCTTTGCGATTGAGGTGTGCATGGCATCAAGGCACGCTCAGAGTCCCAGTGACTCCGGCCTGCCGTCAAACCTTCACCCCATGTCGGAGAACCGTGGACGAACCACAGTTCTCCGAACTTATACTCCTCGCGACAGCACCTCCCTGGCTAATTCTTCTGAGGAAGGATCTCCTTTCTCAGGGACGGGGCACCCTGTGGCACCCTCGTCCCGATCTTTGGGCAGGTTTAAGTACCCTACCACCAGCGGTGGTGGCTACCATCACTTCTGCTGGAGCGCCGTCCACGAGACATGTCTATGTGTTGAAGTGGAACCTCTTCATATGAAAACCCCTGGAGATGTTCGTTCAGTGTCGTGCTTTCCTTCCTTCGAGATGGGTTGGAGCAAAGGCTGTCTCCCTCCCCCCTAAAAGTCTACGTTGCCACTATTGCCACACACCATGACCCAGTCGAAGGTAAGACTTTGGGGAAGCACCTGACCTGATCATCAGGTTCCTGAGAGGAGCTAGGAGACTGAATCCTCCTCGCCCTCCTCTCGTTCCCTCTTGGGACCTTTCAGTGGCTCTAACTGCCCTGCAGAGTGCTCTCCTTGAGCCTTTGCAATCAGTGGAGCTGGCCTACTCTCACGTGATCCTAAGACCCCGGCCTGGATATGAGCCCAAGGTTCCTACCACTCCCTTCCGGGACCAGGTGGTGAACCTGCAATCACTGCTACTGGAGGAGGCAGACCTAGCCTTGGCACTGTTCTGTCCAGTACGTGCTCTCTGCACCTATGTAGACAGAACGCAGTGTTTCAGTACCTCAGACCAGCTCTTTGTCTGTCATGGTGGAAAGCTGAAGGGAAAGGCTCTCTCCATGCAAAGGCTGTCCCACTTGTTAGTGGACGCCATTGCTTGGCATACCAGCAGCGAGGTCGACCTTACCCCCTTGGTGTGACTGCCCACTCCACCCGGAGTGTGGCGTCCACTTGGGCTCTAGCCCATGGTGCCTCTCTAACAGACATTTGCAGAGCTGCAGGCTGGGCGACACCTAACAGATTCGCTAGATTCTACAATCTCCAAGTGGAGCCAGTGTCCTCTCATGTACTCGCTTCAACCAGCTAGTACCAGACCTGCTCAGGATACTTCTTTTGCTCGCCATTCCACTCTCTGGACTGGATATGTGCAATATTTTCCTCAGGTGAGCTTACCCGAAAGCCCTGAGTTCCTCCAGCACTCCTGACGTCGGCACCAGTGTCTATTGCCTGTGCGCCGGGACCATCAACCAGGAAACTATAAATCACATCTGAAAACAGGCCGCGCTAGATTCTGAAAAGCCGAACCAAGTTGGTCACAGGCATGCAGAGTGTATGGCAGGAAGACGCAGTGTCTCATACTCTCTCAGGGAACAAGGGTTTCATACGTAACCTGAGACGTTCCCTTTCAAGGGAACTTGAGCTGCATCGAGATGCGGTGGGAACACCACACCCACGAACGCCATAATAGCAAATGCCTGTTGTGTGTGAAGTTATTGCGCACACTTAGAAGCAAGCTCCCTAGACCCCGGAGTGGAGCCTAGATCCAAGTCATAAAATCTAACATATGTATGCGATAAGGAGCCAGCCTGCCACATCACAGATGCCATGGAGGGAAACCCCCAATATTAAAGCCTTTGAGGCAGCCATACTCCAAGAATCTTGGTCAGACGCATAACAGTGCTGCAAAGGAAACATATTACAGGGTTTCTCCCCTAGGATACACCACTTAAAAGGGATGTGGTAAGCAGCTGAGGCCGCCATGTATACCTTTAGTGTGGAAGGGGGATAGATCTGCGGAGAAATGCTCCTGTAGGAACTCTAGCACTACAACGACAGGGCAGATAACTGGGTCCAGCTGGTGCTCTCCGCACCAGGAAGTGAACAATATCCACTTCAAGGTGTAGAGTTTCCTCGTGGAGGGAGCTCTGAGGTGGGGGGGGTCAACATTCTCAGTTGATAGACCTGAACTTATGAGCTGGGCCCCCTCAGATGTCAAGCCCAAAGTCTCCACAATTCTGGGCAGGGGTGAAGGATCAACTCGGTCGTCTGAGATAAAAAGTCCATCACCACTACACTCGCACAGTAGAGACATCAACACTGGAAGGTCTTCCCACAAGAACACCAACACATTCGCTCGTTGAAACCAACAGCACACTTCAGACACACCCAAACGATCGGCCCCGAAGCAAAAGGCAACTAGTTCATGGATCAACTTCCGTATTTATACCCTGCTCCATGGGGGTGGGGTGTGTGTCATCATGCACACCAATTCCATTGGCTCATTCAATAGTACTCGAAGACGATTGGCTCCCTAGCCTGATCCCCATTCAGTCATCGTTGACTAATTGTCTCGACTGAAAGACAACCTTGACTAACATTATACGTGTATGAATAAATTGATGTATGACTTCTTTAAAATAACTTTGATAGGACTATTCATAGCTCTCAGATTATTTGGTAGGAATGATCTTTCTCTATCTCTGAGAGCAGCAGATTTTTTATTGTTGTTGCTGCCAGTATGTGATTGAATAGATGAGCTAATGAAATTTTGCTCTCACCTGTCAGCAGTGTGATAAGAAGGCCTGCTGCTATAGTGCCAATAAAGCCCACTGCACTATAGTATAGATAGGACATGGAGTACCATGAATCAGCCAGCCAATGTCTGAACACAAGACAGAAATCATTTACATCATATTAATTCAATTCAATTCAATATACATTTATTTGTATATGGCTTTTCACAATGAACAACATTTCAACGTATCTTTACAGAAAAATGTAAACCACATTACAATTTAGAGTGATTGATTATTTGGGATAACTGCCTAAGTAATGTATTTCAGAAATACAAAATCAGTCAACAGTCAAAATCACAATTTAACAATTTAAAGCAGAAACAATGAACTCATTAAAGTAATGAATAATTGTTAACAAAGGATTATTAAATTATATTATAATGAAAGTGCATCATGTTTACAATTGTACAGTAAAAATAGGACTGTCAATAGATTATTATGTTATATTATAAAAACTTTTTAAATAAAAACCAATTCATTTCAATCATGACAACTCTTGAAACAGTTTTAGTGTCTTATTCAAAATGGCAAAGTTTAAGTGTGTGGTTTTGCTGGACTACATCTGCCACACTGCTGCTGCAGAGCAAGTACTGACTAAAGGTATACGTTTTTTCGTATTTGTCATTCGGTGTCTCTGAATTGTCAAAACACCTATCAAAATGCTTGCTATGGATGCAAAAAACTCAGAAAATCAAACCCGATCTGAATATGACTGACGAAAGTTTCGGGGGCAGTGTGTAAGCGTGATTGACTCAACGTGAGGTCGTATTTATTTTTTAACATGCAGAAATTTCGGACGAGAATTTCGGACTCAGTGTGCAAGGACCTTTATTGTCAATAGATACACAGACACTTCTGTGAGCATGTAAGATATGCTGCTGCTGCATAAATAGACATATCCTGTAGCATATCGAAGCAGGTGGAGCTGGGGGAGGTGGTGGGTCCAGAGGCAGGCCCGTCGCGACAAAGCAAGCAAACCAAGCAATTGCTTGGGGTCCCGAGCTGGCCTGGGGCCCCAAGACAACGACTGGTTAAGAATAAAATGCAACGACAAACTGTGTGAGCGCCCCTTTGATAGTCAATGCAGTAAAGTGCAATGACACTGTTTATCGGAATCCCCCTCAAGGGGGCCCCTCTCAGTAGTCGGTGACAGCAGCCAGCCAACCATGTGATCTCTGCTGCCGGCAAAATACAAACCTCCTCGGCAGTCATCATGAAGCAGAATTGTGCTTCAGGAAGTCAGAAAAGAAAGAAGAGAAAGTAAGAGGAGGATAAGAAATAACAAGATATTGGTGAAGTGATAAATTACACTGGATAAAATAGCTCTACTTGTCTTGTACAAATGGTGTAATTTTGCAGCAGGTAGGCTATCAAAAATATGTTTATGTTAGCTACCTGCCTGACGGAAAATGCTGCTTGTAATGTAACGAACAGTCAGTGCAACATTTTTTTTCCCGAACCGACGGAATATGGTTACATACTGTGTTTTTGACAGGATTGGGAAGACGCAGATGTGTTCCAGAATCACTGTTTATCGTATTTAATGAAATGACATTGCTATAGCTTTGCAATAGGTTTTGATGAAAGTGGCATAGCATGTTAAACAACTATTCCACCGTGATAATCTATTTAGCAATGGGGGTTAGGAAAACCACACAATAAATTCCGTGCATCAAACATTAGCTTGGGCTGTTTTTAAAGGGTTAGGTTACCCAAAAATGAAAATTAAGTCATTATACTCACCCCCATGCTGTACCAACCCCGTAAGACCTTCGTTCATCTTCTGAACACAAATAAAGATATTTTGATTGAATCTGAGAGCTGGATCAGTCCTACATAGAAAGCTTAAGGGACTGGCTCTTGACGGCCCATAAAGTCATTAAAGAAAAGGTTTAAATATTCCATGTGCCTACAGCGGCTCAATTATAAGTTTATCAAGCGACGAGACTAGTTTTTGTGCGAAAAAAACATAAATAACGGCTTTATTCGACTATTCTATTACTTCCTTATTGGCGCATGCGCGAGAACTGAGACGAGGACGTTCTCATTCGTCTACTTCTTGTTACCGGCTGCTCACCGCTTAGGAGTTTTACCGCCCCCTATCGTATAAGATGATGTGCTGATATAGCTGGAAGCGCAAAACGTTCTGTTTACAAGCAGAGGAAGATGCGCGCTGTACATACGCTTTTCAATTAGCGTATTTTCCGCACTACAAGGTGCACTTAAAAGCCTTTAATCTGCTCAAAAAACGACAGTGTTCCTTATAATCCGGAGCGCCTTATATATGGATCATCATTTTATACGGTAGGTGGCGGTAAAACTCCTAAGCGGTGATCAGCCGGTAACAAGAAATAGACGAATGTGAACGTCCTCGTCTCAGTTCTCGCGCATGCGCCCATAAGGAAGTAATGGAATAGTCGAATTAAGTCGTTATTTATGTTTTTTTTCGCACAAAAAGTAGTCTCGTCGCTTGATAAACTTATAATTGAGCCGCTGTAGGCACATGGAATATTTAAACCTTTTCTTTAATGACTTTATGGGCCGTCAAGAGCCAGTCCCTTAGGCAGTCTATATAGGACTGATCCAGCTCTCAGATTCAATCAAAAATATCTTTATTTGTGTTCCGAAGACGAACGAAGGTCTTACGGGATTGGTACAGCATGGGGGTGATGATGGTCATTATGTCTAGTCTGTGATAATATTTTTTATAGAAATTGCATTCTTTTTTTCCAGGACAACTGAGTGCACTCTTGTACCCCATGAAATGGTTTGACAAACACAAATTAATTTCCACAAAAGTGGGGTCTTCTGTATTTTAACTTCAGAAGACTGATAAAAGCATATCGCACCTGTCAGAGGTGAGTAATGTTTGGTTGGATCCATCGGCTGAGATGCTGTAGTTGCAGCCTGCAGTGTTGAGTTCAAGAGGATGTGTGTTATTGCTGGATGCGGGATAAATGAACGCTCCCACACCAACCCAGAATGAGAGACTGATGCCCACAATCAATCCTCCAAATGCCCCCTAAAGTTAAAGACCACAAATCACAAAGTATGTGAACAATATGAACTTTGGTGAAGCACAAATTAAAAATTAATTCATGTTTTATTTTACATGATAAAATAATGCACATGTAATGTTGATAGTATTTTTTAGACTCATTCATAATTTCTATTAAATAGGTTCTGCAGATAAATAGGGGAAATATCTTTTGTTACATTTTATCTCTAAAAAGATTTTTTGTCTTATTGATTTGTATTATATACTATTTAGAAAATTATATAGACTTCATAGCAACACATTTCCTAGCCCTAGCTTTAATATAAGTTAGGTTAGGCTCATAAATACACATAAAAGTATTAAAAAAAACAACCTCTTCAACAATTACCAGCTATATTATTTAAAGTCTTACAAAGTAAAAATAGGAGATTTTACCGTTATGAAAGATTAAATATTGCATTTGAATATTTAATATTTAAAATTGGCAAATTAAGTTGTATTTTAAAATTCTAATGTAATTGGTAAATGAGATGTAAAAATGTAAAAACTTAAATGTTTATGCATTTTTTTTTTTTTTTTTGCTATTGTTTCAGATGTCTCTGTACTCCAAAACTGAGAGAAAACTAAAATTTATTTATTTTACATGTCTTCACAAGTCTGGTATGAAAGTTTAGATTAACCTTTAGGTTAGTGACAGGAAACAGGATTCCAAGAGAAAACAGGCCCAGCATTGGGCCTCCACACATGCCATGGATACTGAGGGCCGCCTGAGGCACAAGAGGAAAAAGATACTCAACGACAGGAAACTAAGCAGTGACAGATCATCTGGACCCAAATGAGAATACCATGAGCCACATACCTGCACAATTCCTCCCATATATGAAGCACCCACGGCCATAGTAGTGCAAGCCACACCAAACACCACACCTGATCATCAGCAGACAGTCAGTGTAGCAGTATTAATGAAATACAGTAGTTCTTTCTAGTCAAGCATAACTACAATTCTTATATTCAGGGTTAGTAATTTGAACAAACCCCTAACCCTAAGTATGAAAATTTGGCACATCTCACACCATTTGTGTAATGGGTATAAATAATTTATGAAATTGACAAAGAGGAGAGTTCTTTTAAAAGTTTTCACCTTATTAATGAAAAAAAAACAAAAAAAACGATACAATAGAATCAATATCTAAAGAACAGAATATGCATCAATGCCTAGTTTTGCACAATCAAATGGAATACTAGATTAAGGCATTTCTAATCTTATTGTCGATTCATCATGATGTGAAACCACATGGTTCATCAACTTTTGTGAAAAAATAAGTGTACTAGACTGTATTATATGTGTACTTACTTATGTGTAATTATATGTGTATCTTAAAAGTATATTTTTAAAAAAAGTACTTGTATGTATGTAACCCTGGGATTTCTCCTCACAGTTAAACAAAAGTATTTAGGTCCTTAATGATAATGTTTCGGGTACTGAATTACATAGTTCTTTACAATGTCTTTATGGGTATCTACCCCTTTAAGAGCATCGTTTCGCCTGATAGTTTGGTTGTAATTTACATGTGCAAAACGTGGGTTTTACCAACAAGTTAGTGTTTGTCCGTTATTCATTGGTTAATTATTGAATAAGCCCACCTTATATCTACGTAATGTGAAGTTTGATTGGTTCTTGGGAAGGGGGAGGAGAAAGAATAGAGGAAGAGTCGAGGCGAGGCGAGGCGAGGCGAAGCGAAGCGAAGCGCGCCGATGTATGTGTGAGAGAATCACGATTAATCCGAATAGGATTGATTGATTTTATTTCTTTGAGCAACGAAAAGTATTGAAACTATCAGAAAAGTATTGATTTAGCAGCATTGATTTTGTTTTGTAAGGTTTGCCGGCTGTAAACTGAACGCTGAGTTGATTTTCTGTTCAGTACACTTGTGTGAGTTCCAGGCGAGTTAGTGCTTACTACAAACGAAATAGTGACTGAGTAGCTAAATACTAAAGTGGACTTTAAATACCAGCGTGAATAGCGGTGATAAGGAGAAGCTGCACGATCCAGGTAGCGCCCTGAATCACCGAGAGGTTCAGGGTTCCCCTGGCAACGGGGGATTGCGAGGATCGCCAGGACGCATATCAGTGAGAAAAGCTTCCTAACGAGGGAGGACTTTTCACTACGGAGTTGAGGTATCACCTTAAATATTTATTTGGCTCTTCGGAGTGAAGCGGCCAATTATCCTTTTGTTTTGCGGCCACAACGCACTCGAGCAACGGTTACAGGCCTGCAACGAGGGGTGAGCTTGATTGTGTGTGTGTGTGTGTGTGTGGGCCCACTAAAGTTCATGTGATTATTTGTCAAATTATAACTGCCGTTTATTTTCCTGAGGGGTGTTGTATTTATTATTATTCATTTCTGTTAAAGTGAAGTTTCATGTAGCCTATTTGTAATGGGCATTTAAAAAAGTGTAAAACCATATTGAGAGACATTATTGGGTAAAAAGAGTCATACTCAACTGTAATTCATATTCATTTGTGATTGATATTCAATTCTAAAAGTACATTAATCTGAGAAATTGTGTATAATTTTAGGATTCCAACCGACCGGTTGTGACAATTTTAAAATAGACAGTACATTGTAATTTAGGCCTACTGTTTATTTATCCTCCCTTTTATTTCAAATTTTCCATTTTTTTTATTTAATTTCATATTTTTTGTTAATAAACATTTTAATCGTTTACTTGAAGTGATTTCATCAAGTCTTACTGATTGGTTTGTTTGGAAGTTAAATTGAATATTTCTTTTGGGTTAAGTTATTCTCATAAAATGCCTGATTATAGCTAAACTGAGGAAATAGGGAGTTTTGCTAAAGGGTGTTTAGTGAGTTCCCTTATAGTTTAGTCGAGAGACTAAAATTCGAACCTGAGTACCCGCCCTAAGAGCTCAAGTACGTCATAATTGAGAGGGAAGAGGGTGCTACATGTACATTAAAATTAATTAAACAAAAGCCACTTAAAGAGAGTACACTTTCATAAATGTTTCTTAACACATGTAACACTCCTCAAAAGTGAACTTTGTAATAATTTGAAATTAAAAAGTACATTTTCAATCATTATGTTTTAGTAATCTTTTGTTGTGCTCTAAAGTGTACATTTGTTTTGATGCGTTGACAAACAGAAAACATGTAAAGTTCTTCCAATGAAATATATTTAAAGTGTACTAATTTACAACTTTTCTTTTACAATAAAAGTTCTCTTTTTAAAAGTATTCTAAAGCACAATGTTCCCTTTCGAGGGAACTCAACACTTTGTCGTTGAAAAATGACTCTTTGGGGACGCTCCCTAAGCGTACGCTTCTGAAGTATGAATGAAACTTAAGGCGGGCATACACTGTGCGATGTCTGTGCGATTTCAGCAAGGTACCTACTCACACTGAACGAGTAAATCGCATGCGATGCAAAGCCAAAGTTCAGGATTTATGTGCTCACACTGTACGGTCCGATCGTCGAGCTGCGACTTCACTGCTCACACTATACGTGTAATATCTGCGATAACCCCATGGATTGCGCCTATTTACGTGCATGTATCCAGAGATATTGTCAAAACAAGCATCTGCTATCAGTATCAAGATTATTTAGTATTTTCAATTTATGCATTTAATTATTATTATTATTATTATATTATCATTATTAGGGGAGGCCTATAGGCTAATTTTACTATTAAATTGATCCGCTATTATAATTAATTTGCCACGCAATATTTTCACCGCACATAACTAACGTGCTGTGAGGATAATAAAATATTATTCTTACTCCTCATTAAAAATTGTCTAAAACATTTAAGTCGATTACAACGAATTATATATAAAATAACTATTAACAGTCTATAATATGTCCGAACATTGCCATTATTAATCATCAATGAAAATTAAAAACAGGTTTATTTCAAAAACATTGTTTGACAAAATAATAAAAGAGGTGTTACATATCAGGTGGCTTGAAGAGGGTGGGTAATATTATCCATTTTGCAACACGAACTGGAGGTAAGCAACAGTAATTTGTAGCTCGTTTTTATTTTAATTTTATTTTTGCTGCAGATGAAATGGTTAAACTTCTGTTTTCGCGCAGGTGCAGTGAGGGAAAAAACACTGAGTTTAGGGCAATCGGTTCGTAGCTTTGCTTCAACTGTGCGATATAGTCACGAGGAGCGACCAAAATTTCTGACATGCCAGAAATTCATCCGATTGTCGATCGTGAGAGGTTAATCGCCTCTCGTTTCTCCCTGTACACTGCACGAACACTGCACGACAAACGACGCACGACAAAGCTGAAAATCGGTCCGACATGAAAATGAGTCGCACGAGTCAGAATTCGGCTCAAAATCGGACGAAAATCGCACAGTGTATGCCCGCCTTAATCCAATCCCGATTGGTCATCGTGACGTAACGTGACAGCATAGCCGGATGCATAAAAGTGACGCTGACACACACACACACACACACACACACACATCAGCTTTCGCTCTTCAGCAAGCACTCTGTGTTGAATGCTGTCTGTCTTATTTGGTGTTGTTTGTCTTCTGCAGTACATAAAATGGCCAGCGAGCAGTTTAGGAAGTGTGTGCACCCCTGCCCTCATTTCATTATGGGTGGGGACACGCATGTTCTGTGCATAAACTGTTTGGGAGCGCAGCACCCCCGGGCAGCTCTCGAGGGGCCTGTGGAAACTGTGAAACACTACCTATGAGAGTGCTGCGCTCCCAACTGGCGTGCTTTGACGAGCACGGTCAGGCTCGCGTTCCCTGGCCCCCTTCAAACCTCTTCAGTCAGCTTCGCCTAAAGATCTTACCCTTAAATTAGTCTTTCTCTTAGCTATCACCTCTCTTAAGAGGGTGGGAGATCTCCAAGCCCTGGCAGTGACACAAGCTTGCTTGGAGTTTGCCCCTGGCAGAGTAAAGGCCTTTTTGCACCCGAGTCCGGGCTATATGCCTAAAGTGCCTGCTAATATGGCTCGGTCTACGGTCCTGCAGGCATTCCATCCTCCACCTCATGTGTCGGCAGAAGAAGAGAAGCTTCATTTGCTCTGCCCCGTCAGAGCTTTGAGTGTTTACCTTGTACCTCGTCCAAGCAAACCATTAGCAATTGGATTGTTCAAGCTATTGAATTAATTGGATTGTTCAAGCGTCCTAGCTGAGTGCCTGAATCAGTTTCACTGATTCAGGCACTATTCGGTGACAGGCCTATTCGGTGCGTGGCCGAGTGGGCATTCGTTCCCCAAAAAGTCGTTTTTCAATGACGCAGTGTTGAGTTCCCTCGAAAGGGAACGTCTCGGGTTATGACTATAACCCTTGTTTCCTGAGAAGGGAACGAGACACTGAGTCGTCTTGCCATGCCCCTCGAGGCCTTTGAGCGGCTTGCTTCATCGAGAGGCTGATGTGTGTGTGTGTGTGTCAGCGTCACTTTTATGCATCCGGTTATTCCGTCACATGTTACGTCATGATGCAACACCAATACTCTACTCAGAAGCGTATGCTTAGGGAGCGTCCCCAAAGAGTCGTTTTTCAACTACACAGTGTCTTGTTCCCTTCTCAGGGAACAAGGTTTTTAGTCATAACCCAAGACGTTCTCCAAGATTCATTCAAATCTGCAAATATTACTCATTTATGGTGAAATGATCATTGCTTAATGTTCCAAGTGCTGAGTGTGTAACTTGATTTCTAGACCAGCTTTATAAAGCTGTGCTCTCATGAGTGTTCAGTTGCTTGGGTTTCGTTTTGGTTCACTCTGCCGTTTGTTTGACCTACTTCTGCCTGTTAAAACGTCAGACGTTTCTTGGTAAAATCTGAAGATCCAACGATCTCTTGAATTTCCATTTCTGCCCATTTAAAGTTGCAGAACGGACAGATTTTTCAGGTTGTTTCCCCCCCCGCTGTGACTCATAATGATGTACTGATCCACTGAGGTAAGACTTCTCAGTGATAAATCTGCTCTTATGCCATATGACACAATTAATATTCTCATTATGAGAATCCTCCATTGAATCCCTTAAAAGGTTTGAACACATTGGATGTACTGTATTTACACAGTGCTTTACTGATCCAGTTGGCTGCTCGGTTGGACAGATCTCCAAAACACTGGCTCACAAAGTCCTCATACATTACCGTGGCCAACGCATTGATACTGGCAGCTACTGTGCTGAAAAAGAGAAACAGAACATGATGTCTCCTTTTATAGGTCAGAAGTATTATGAAATATAGCTATATGAAATATAGATATATGTCTCTAAATCAGTGGTACCGTATTTCTAAATCTAAGAAACATCTTTATAATTAAACATTAAGCAAATTATTTTTTTTATTTAAATGTAAGCTATATTACTACATTAACGCATATGTTACTGTGAACTTTTGGAAACTCATTGAGAGACAGAATGCCTCCGCTTTACCTCAGAGTTCCACTGAATGCACATGCGACAAATAACCCAGGCAGTCCTGGAAATGCCCCAAGAATTTCCATCACAAAATATGGCATGAGCTGAGAAGAAATGGATATGCTAAAGTTAACAAAATGAGCAACTCATACTTTGCACGTGACGTCACAAGTACTGGCTGGCGGGCAAGAACGTCGTTCTCTAGCAACGAAACCCAGTAAACTAGTCAAGGATCTTAAAGGGGACATATCATGCAAAATCCACTTTTTTTAGCCCTTAAATGCATTTTGTTGAATATTTGGAGTGTTTATAAGTACAGAAAAGATGCAATTATTCTCTTCAGGTACTTCGTTTATATCTTTATATTCTGTTTTGGTCATATTTTTCAACCTGTTCAGATTTTTCTGTTTTCTATGACGTTTTTTGAACTACAACGTCGGCGTATTTGCAGCGGAACTGCCAAATAAGGACATCGACTACCGGTCCAACACTTCGAGAAATCCGCCATTATTATTTCTCGCTCCAATTTTGTAGTCCGAGCTCAATGATGCAGAAGTTACGAGAGGGCAAGTCAAAAGCGGTTTTTGGATGTAGTGACCTGAAGCACTTCAATGATTCCCACTTCAACAACCTCCGCCAGTAACGTTATACAGAAAGGTTTGCCGATTGACTTCGTTTGAATGAGAGGTAAATTCCTTCTATCTTTGGAGACGACGAACAGAGCATTTCGATAAGCTGTAAATATCGTTAATAAAAATAAAGTACTTTACTTTCTTAAAACACATGGTGGTCATGGTTTAGCAGTACCTTTGTCTTTCTTTGTTTTTGTTTTGAAGTAACTAACGTTACACGTCTGCACAGTATTATTGTTCTTGAGTTTCATCAATGGTCATTTAGCTGCTTTTCTGATGCTTTTGTTTGACAGATTGTTTGTGGTAAGATTAGACCGTAGTCATTTATCTTGTCAGTGTGCTTGTTTTAACAAGAGAAATAGTCGACTTTCACTAATAACACAAAACAGTTAACTCGCATACCAATACATCCATATGAAGATTGTTGCTGCAGGTTCGTCGTCGTCTTTATCAACTCACTCGCTCTGGTTCGAATATGTAAGGCTTGATGGACAAGTCTTCTGTTGTTGACATTTTATTAACGTGTGAATAAAAATGTTCTTTTAAGGGATCGTATATAATCGTATGTCTCTAATCAAACTACAATAATGGCCGAACGTGGGGAGTTGAACTGACCGTGAACTCATCGACCTTGAGAGCGTGTGGGGTATGACGCATCTCCTTTTTATTTAAAGGGGCCGCTTTGAAACGGGTCGCTCAAAGACGCACATCAGAAAAGGGGTAGAAAAGGGGCTTGTGGAGCTATAATAATGAGGAATTCAGACCCAAGCATTGCAGTTATGTTTTATATAGACCACAATGGTATGATTTATATGTAAAAATGAATGATTTAAAAGCATGATATGTACACTTTAAAGGGGTGATGAACTGAGAAATCAAATTTTCCTTGAGCTTTTGATATCTAAGAGGTTATCATATTATAAGAATATCCTGTAAGTTTCAGAACTGAAAACGTCCTTGTTAGTCTAATAAAAGCTTTTATTTACACCAGCCTCTGAAAACGTCTCGTTTTGAAAAGTGGGAATTTATGACGTCGAAAGGGTTAAAACACCACCCCCGCAGAAGAAGATCAACACCTACTTCAACACGGCCGGTTTAGCCCCGCCCACCGATTCGCGCATTACACGCATAGCTAAGTAGCCTAACTTGCATGCCTACCATGTGATGAAACCGGATCGTTCTACCGAGCAATACAGAATATTTTACAGTGCCTGGTTGTGAAAGAAGACAGTCGCTGCATAAGCTTCCTCTGGATTCCAGTAGGACTTCATGGATAAACTTTATTTTTAATGACGTTCCAGCTGATGAGGGTAAAACATCGTCGTCTGTTCGCTTCATTTCACTGAGGATTGTTTTGTCAACAAGACTGGATTTGCAGACCGATTAAGAGTAAAGAACGGTGCTGTGCCGTCTATATTGGATCTGACAGGAATTGTGCAACACACGGACTCTGGGTCGAACATGTATGGGCGAATACGGTTGCCATTTGACAACATTGGACGTTTTCCCCCACGTACACCGACGGGTGAGTTAAACTCATTATAATATGCAAAACTGTTCTCCACTCGCAGCAGTGGGCGTTTATTTCCAAGTCTTCAGCGCGACACGCCCATAAAAACCGACCGTTTTTCAGGAAGGCTCACAACTTGGGTACAAAATAGCCTATTACTTATTCATTTTGATGTTTTTGAATGCAAAAACCAAGCGAACGTCTTAAGTTGACCTCAGACAACAATATAATAACATTTAAAAACCAGTTCATGACCCCTTTAAATTCAATTCAATTCAATGAATTACTGTACTACATCACAGCCTAACAGATTGCTTACAGGATTATACGCATTTCGCTGCTCTCGTCTGTTGTCTGATGCTATGTGGAGTGGATCACAATCAATCCCCCAAATGAGCAGGTAGGCTACAATGTTTGACATCCTGCTAGCCAGGCAGGGTGTACTGTACATATCCAGATGAAGACTTCATCACACGATGGAACAGATGTCACTTTGTTTTATAGCTGCAATAAGTAAACGGACCTTTGCTTTGATTATGAAGATATTCCTGTTTTTCACCTCCCATTGGACAGTGTGTTAACCCATCCACTCTTTAAAAAAAGATAGCTATCTGTACTTTTGTAGGCTTTAATTGTGTGTGCGGTGTAAGGTGATGGATTCTCTATAAGATATATAATGTAAATATCTCAGTCTTTGCCAGCTTCAAAGCAATGAAAACATCAGCGGATGCTGCGTATGGATCACACGTTCCAAGTATGTTCATCTTTTTTTGATATCTAATTTTAACATTCGGTAACATATGGTCTAAATAGTTAATTGATTTTAGTATTAGAAATTTGCAAGGCTGCAATTCGCCTGGCTGGCCACTGTTTGTCGCTATACCCGCCAGTTATCCATGGTGTCACGTGACTGCAAAGAATGAATAGTGATATAGCAATAGTTACTTTGCTAGTGAGTGCCACTAATAATACTGCTAAACAAATTATATTAAACCATTGACATGTGGATACTTTACTGTTTCATTATGGTGATTATATTTTAGAGGTTTATTTCAAATAAATGTATAGAGATCATCACCTGGTCTGGTGCAGAGACCAATCCACTTGACCAGGGGTCACATTGGGAGTAGAAAGTGTACATCATTAGACCAGATGTCACAGCACAGAACAAAATTATCCACAAACCCAGCAGATTCAGATACAGAGCCCTAAGACAAAAGGAATACCATTTTTTTTAATTAACTGAACTCAAAATATAAATGAAAAGCTGGTGCTTGAAAACTTAAGGCAGAAGAACGTGAGCTTGCTGGGGGTGGGGTTTAAGCGGACTAAATGATTGGAGAAGTCCTGCATATGTCACCAGAGAGAAGTCTGTTAGTTTCATCAGAAGGTCCAGTTATATCATGTTGATTAAACAACACGAGTTCAAAACATAAAAAAAAAATATGAAACAGATTAATTGTTCACGATAAGATCTATAATATTGAAAATAGGGTGACTTTTCATTTTGTGTCGACTTTAATTTTACTAAAGTATTGTAAGTTAACTGGTTAAAGTATATTTGATGCACAAACTTTTGAAAGCATCCTGTTTAATTTACTGTGTTCTCAATGTCCTTATTATGTAAGATGCTGTTTAAGATGACAGTTTGAAGCCAAAATTCTGAAACCTGTTGACTACAGATTTATTGACTGGAATATATATATATATATATATATATATATATATATATAAAAAATATAATATAAAAAATTCACAAAGAAAAGGGAGAATTTTTTTTATAATGTTTCACTTGGAAATGGTAGAAGTACAAGTTAGATTAACCCTCTGGTGCTGTTCGGCCAATTACATTTGTTTTTTTTTTAGTATTTCTAAAGGTTACGTTTTTTGCCACTTGTTATGTGAACACACAAAAGTAAATCATGGACATGATTCGAAAAAGTTACACGGTCCTGGAAAAAAAATAGACACACTTGTATTGTTCACGGTCAAAAATGACTTGCATTGGAAACAAATGTAATACGGTGGTGTTACATTTGTAATGGTAACACATTTAATTAGAGTGGATAAGATTTAATGCGTATTTGGCGTGCTGTCCGGGGGGAGTGCTTCGAGCTCGGAGTTTGGCCCGAACCCAGAGTACTCCCTCCTATGTAAGTGTTTAGGACTGGAAGTGTGGAGGGATGCTGTTAAACTATCGATGGAGTGAGGTGAGATTGCTGAATCTGTATACACCTCTAATCATTGACTGAGTTCACTCCACTTGTGTAAATTAACTGAACGCGCTCCTCCTGAACTTTGGTAATCATCATTAGATGAATTTCATCTAGAGGAAACGCTCGGTACTGCGCCCAAACAAAATCTTAGTGAAAGTAAATTTTTTGATATATCTACCAAAAATGTGGAGCACAACTTGTTTAGATTGGTGGCTTTGATTTGCTCACAGTTTTAGAGTAAACAATTGATATTTCAATATAAAATGTAAAAATAGTATTGTTGAGTATTTTTCACAATTCAAACTAAATAATTTTCTCCACTTTTAATGATGAAACACATTGATTTGCAAAGTGACCAGATAAATGTATTTATTTAAAGCCACAATATGTATTTTTTCTGCATTAAAAATAGCAAAAATAACTGTATCTATGTTATATATTTCTGTTAGATAAGTACTTACATTATCCCGACAGTTTCCACCAAATTTCAAATACGGAGAAATTTATAGTTTAATTCGAAGACACGGGACGTTTCTTTATTTCCGTTTCGTCGCCCGTCTATGGCGTCATATAACCTTTGACTGCTCTATTTTCTCTAACTTCCTTGCGGAACCCGGCGAAACCGCCAAACACAAAGGGGAACACTGGACTACCGCCAATAAAGCAAAGAAAATGACGAAATAAAAAAAGTAGTACGTATTTTTATGTGTGTAAATCACGTGCCCGCTCACGAGCGCTCACTCTTAACAGACACACTGTCCCCGGTGCTGCTCGCGCATAAAGCGCTCCCCGTTCACAGCAACCGTGTCGTCTCATTCAAAACAGCAAACTGTTGCTGTTAGCGAGCCGCGCACATTGAATACTCATATGAGTCAGGCTGCGAATGTACGTGCCCGCTTCAGTGCGCTCATGCTTACTAAATAAACGCCTCACCTCCGGCGCCGCGCACTGACTACATTCCCTTTAGCCTTTAGCACATAGTGGATGAATAACGCAAACCCAGTCAAACGTTTGACTGCAGTATCTTATGTGCTTTATAATCTGGTGCGCTCTATACATGAAAAATGTTCTAAAATAGGTCATTCATTGAAGTAGCGTAATATTAATATTTATATTCGTCTGTATTAGTTATGGACCACGATTACGCTTTGCCTACACGTTCTGCTGCTACAGCCAGCTCATTAGCTAAAGCTCAAACGTACCTGAAAAATATGACCCGAGAAGGGTTTGGGATAGGAGAAGCATGACACAGGTAAACATTGGGGTTGCATTTAAAGCTTCTTGACAAGCTAAATCTACAGAGAGATGCCGTATATCCGTATATTTTGTGAAACGATGATGTCATGTCATGAGCTGAGCTGGTTGTCAGCGACAACAACTCCCGTGAGCCCACGCTCTTTCCCGACGTCATCAAAGTACGTCTTTTGTTATTATTTTAAACGAGTGACCCCTGGTGGCCAAAAATCGCATACTGTACGTTTAAATACATAAATGTCTTTTTTTCTATAGACTATATATAATGGTAATCTTTTTCTTTTTTTTTTTAAATGCATGACCAGATTTTGAGAATATTATGGGAAGTTATGTGTAATGGGAGCTCACCAGCGTGCATGACTTTCTGTTTTACAAGAGATGCATCTCTGGATCGTTGACTGATTTACCCCATAGATACCCAACCATGTGAAGGTGCCCCCTACAGTGAGGGTCCAGAACGTGTGCCGCCTTAGAGGATTGACGTCAAAGCTGGAAAAATATTTCAACCTGTTACAAAGTATCACTATTTAAATGAACTCATTGATGCTGGTAAACAATGTATTCTCACCCCAAGGCGTCACCTTTTGACCATGCTTCAATATTCAACGCTTTAGGCACCCTTTAGCATCAGTTACATGACGCGATCCTATGGCGTCACCTAACTGACGCTAAAGGAAAGTGTCAGTTAAGCCTAGTTCACACTACATGCACTCTAAAAAATGATGGGTTAAAAATAACCCAACTTGGGTTATTTTATAACCCAACCGCTGGATCAATATTGCACCAGCCCAACAGTAGTTAATTTGACCCAGCAAGATGGGTCGGTCATTTTTAACCCAACAGATGAGTTGTTCATTTCTACTCAAATGCTGGGTCAAATTAAATAAAATTCTGGGTTGATTTAACTACAAATTTGTTATATAGCGTACCCAAATGCTGGGTCAAATTAATTACAATTCTGGGTTGATTTAACTACATATTTGTTATATAGTGTACCCAAATGCTGGGTCAAATTAACCCATATGCCAGACTAATTCTAGCACATTACAGTACAATTTAAGAAAATAAAAGGCAATTGACTACTCATAACTATAAAACAGTTACACTACAAATCTAGAACAGAATACATGCTAGATGTATGCGTAGATTATGCAATAAACACTTAAACAATACAAAAACAAAACAACAATGGAGTCTTTGAAAAATTATTTTATTACTTTAATATCAACAAATATTAGTGGAACTGCAGTTAATATCACTGAAGTAGGAAAACATTCAATTATGAATGAACTGGCTGAACATTTAACAGGCCAACAGTCAACGGGAGCCATTAGCTAGTATTCTGGTATCTTCCCAAAGAAACTATTAAAGGGATAGTTCACTTTGAATTTAATTTTTGATATGTTTTATCTTCCCTCAAGGGCATCCAAGATGTAGGTGTCTTTGTTTCCACAGTATTTTCAATTTTGATATCTTTCGGGCAAACCATTGTTGTCAATCAGTTATATAATGGAGGTTTAGGGGGTCCTCCATCAGTTCATGTCAAAGAGCATGCACAGAGAAGTCCAAATTAAACATGATTGAATGACTCGTAAATGTAAGTACGCAGTGAAGGCCTAAGACACGAAACGAGCGGTTTGTGTGAGAAAACGAACAGTATTTATATCGTTTTACCTCGTGTAACTCAGCCATTGGCAACTGATCTGACGGCAGGGGCGCTTCAGTCTGTGCATGCGCCAGAAGTGATCGCTTGCGTGTGTACGTCACTCATTGTTTACACAGAGATTTCGGGAGTTTAACCTTTCACTAAACATTTAGATATATCGAAATCTTCCATTGCGATTTCCTGTATATATAAATATGTTTAGATCTTCACAGTGAAAGGTAAAACTTCCGAAACTCTGTGTAAACAATGAGTGACGTCACTTCCGGCGCATACACAGACTGAAACGCCTCTGCCGTCAGATCAGTTGCCAATGGCTGAGTTACACGAGGTAAAAAACTATATAAATACTGTTCGTTTTCTCACACAAACCGCTCGTTTATTGTCTTAGGCCATCAATGTGTACTTACATTTACGAGTCATTAAATCATGTTTAATTTTGACTTCTCTGTGCATGCTCTTTGAGGTGAACCGAGGGAGGACCCCCTAAACCTCCAGTGTATGACTGATAGACAACAACGCCAACGGTTTAACCGAAAAAACAAAACAAAATTGAAAATACTTTGGAAACAAAGACACCTACATCTTGGATGCCCACGAGGTAAGCTAAAACATATCGAAAATGTATTTCAAAGTAAACTATCCCTTTTAATATTTAGAAATAATAACTGTGTGTGCCTCTAATGTTGATCTTACAAGTCCTCTAATTTTTTGAAGAACTTCAGCCCAGGGCCAGCTCTTGGGATCAACTGTTGATGGTAGCCTCATCTAAAAGAAGAAAACTCTCCTCATCAGTCCCCTCCTCTAAAAGACAAAAAAATACAAAACACAAAGAAATCTGTTTTTACAACTGAGGAGTACAAAACTAAAATATATAGGTAATTAAATGGAAGATATGCATATTCCATCATTTGTTATTACAAAATAGAATAAATCACTGAAAGTCTACAAAAGACATGTGCCCTATTCATCTATTGGAGTCACTTTGACACATTACATGGAAGCTATTGAAAAAAAAAAGAGAAAATTATATTTCATAAGAATTAATGTCTGAAAAGGGCTTGAGTAGCAATGCAGACTTGATATGCTGTGGATGTGAAAACAAATATTTCTTACCTTGAAATCTTTCAACAAGGTCTGTCAGCTGCCACTCTGTTGTGTCAATGACAAAGCTGACCTGATCTGAAACAAACACAAAATGAGGTTAAAGTAATATACAATTACTATTGTATTAACTATTCAGATGTCACCATGCAAATGCAATGCAGACTAGCAGCAGAATGTAATCCAATGTGAAGATAACAGCCAAAATATAGAGAGACCCTCTCTCCCTATACAATTCAAATTACATGTATTTTACATTCAGACATTTTATGTTACTTCAATGTTTTTACATAACGTTACTTTAATAAGTCTATTACTGTGTTATACCTTCGCATTTCACATTAAAAGCTTTGAGGGCAAAAAAGCGCGCTCATTTATATCCAGTTAACTTAAAATAATGTAAGTTAGCCTGCTAGCCAGGCCACCATTTTATATAAGAAATGTTTTCTTATCTATCGCGGGTCACCATATTACTTAAATAAATGCACATACATGCATTTAGTCTGGCATATCAGGTTATCTCACTGTTTATACATACTTTAATCAGTCTAACACTGTGTTCACATTAAATGCTCCAGGGAAAAAAATAGCGCGCTCAAAATAGCTAGCAGCTTGCTAGTGCTTCAATGATAACGGCTCAATGGCTAACGCTAGCCAAACAAGCCAGACAAACTAGCCTCGACAATATAAAGATATTACTTTAGAAAGGTAACGTTAAAGTAGACTCACTGTATTCCGGACACTAAGTTAGACCGTTTACCGCAATTTCTATAAATAAACACTTCACGGCCATTGCATCAATACGTGTCATCTTTGCCTCACCCTCTTCCGACCAACCCAGCTTATAACTTAGTTGTTAAAATATATGTCTTATATATTAGAAATGACATGTAGAGTACTCTACCTTAGTTTATTTCCCTCGCTCGATGAAAAGTGAAGTTCTCTTTGAAGATCGCTCGGTGTGTGGTGGATCCGGGTATGGTGGACTCTTCTTGTGATGATGTGATGACGTTCGAAGCACAAACAACCCACGTGCTGGGTCAACGGTGTATGTTGGGTAGATGGGTTATTTTTTCCAACTCATGTGTTGAGTCAAAATCCATATACATAACCCATAATGGGTCAAACATTTCATAACCCAGCGGTTGGGTTGATTAAATAACCCAGCATTTTTTAGAGTGTGATTTTAAGCCCGATTTAAGCCCGATTTGAAAATCGTTGAGTCGCCGACAAGTCAGGGTGTTATCGCGTGCAAATCGCGGGCGATTAGCGGACGATTAACACTCGCCAATCCGTTAGTGTGAAAGAGCCAACAACGCATCAAAGACAGCTCGCAGACACCTCGTAGACAGGTCACCGAGCTCAGAAAAATATCTAGCATGCTAGATATCTCGAGCAGTCGCGCGACTCAATCTCAGTGATGTCATGAGTACAGCCAATCATAGCAACGCATGGGTTGAGGACACAAGGTAAATCTTACTTTTTTCTTTTTTGCATTTTTTTTCTCAAAGCAGATCGTCGAGCAAACAGTGTGCAGCACTAGTTTCTGTCTGACGTCCATATTCGCGTTTTGTGTTCATCTTCTCTGCAGTTTCGCGTCATTTCTGGTTCGTTTTATTGCGTGGTTTTTCGTTACAAAACATGGTTTCTAGACCAGATAGAATCGTGTTGTTGTCAACTCGTTATTTGTTTGATTATTTTCAGGATTTAGACCGTACTATAGTACTGAAACAGCTCTCATTGAGTCACAAATGATATGCTCTTATCATCCGATCGTGGTTGTATCTCTATGTAGTGCATTGTTAACTCGTGTAGTGAGTTACCTCCTGTTGTGGATCAATCACGCTGTGTTGTGTAGTGTGAACAGCTAAACAACTTTAACACTCATGATTTCACTGAGAGCAAGTCATGTAGTGTGAACTGCACAGTTCAGCCCGACATTTTAAAATCATGTAGTGTGAACTAGGCATTAGATGACGTGGGTAGGTTTAGGTCTGGGGTAGGGTTACACGCGATCCTAGGGCGTCATCTAACTGATGCTAAAGGGTGCCTAAAGCGTCTGATATTGAAGCATGATCAAAATGCTTCCCAAGGCGTTAGTTAGGTGACGTCCGAATGGGCTTTCATAAATCAATAATGACATGTAATAATACATGTAATGATATAAAGTATATAGAGTGTACAATAATGAAATAAAGAGTATAACCAGTAAATTGAGTGTCTGAACACATACATACTCAAAGACTTCCATTCTGCCTCCTTCATGAGCTGTTTTCCAAACAGTCTCAATCCCCCCCGCTCTATTCGCTCCCTGGATCAGAACAGTGAGGAACCCGGCCACCATCACCAGCATCTGGAAGGCATCTGTCCAGACCACAGCCTTCAATCCACCCTAAACACACACACACACACTGGCACTGTTTCTCCTGTTTCTGTCTGATCACAAGCCACTGAGTCCATGTGAATGCCCCATTCACCAGACTTTAAACATTTCTCCAAGGTTTAAATATACAGTAATATTTCAACAATCAAACATTTCACAAGTTAATTCAAACAGTTCATGTTTTCTCATGAAACAGATTATAATTTCTAGGTATGATAATGATATATTAACAGTGTAGGAATTGATACTTTTCATTTTTATTGTCTATACGTTTCATTTTATATAGACAATATAGTCATGTTGGAAAACACATTGTTCTTGATTTATTGTCCTAACCACAAAGCAGGAACTACTGGTGATCTGGACCAGTATTTTAAACTGAAAAACATATTTTTTACTTTAAAATAATAGTCCAGATCACTAGTAGTCCTTGAAGACGAGTGACTAGGTAACACTTGAGTAATTAGTGATGCATTTTATGACTATATTTAGAGCAAAAATGACTGATTATGTCTGATTAATGTTGTGATTGGTAGTAATTCTTTATAATTTGTCATAATTAACTATTAGTTCTTAATGATGCCAATTTCATTAAGTAATTATTGATTGCCTAATAAGAAACTATCTTAGTCCTAAATTCGATATTAATTAATTACTGATTAGTTAAGCTTGTTTCCATATTAGTTAATAGAAGTAGCTGAAGTGTTAAAGGGTGGACCAACGTGATTATTTCACGTCTTATCATGATACCGGGTTGGAGAAATGTTGTTTTGGCCACTTTGTTTGATATAATCACAAGAATTTAACGTAAGAAAGAATGGGATTTGAACTCAGGTCTCCTTGATTAAAGCCCAATGCTTTATCAACTGAGCCACTGAGTCTGATGAGTAAAATGGTGTATTGGATGGGTTTTATTGCGTGTTTAGTTTTATTTGTTGGAAAAATAAATATAATTAAAGCTGCAAGCAGCATTTAGCGGGGTTCAAGCAGTTCAGGCCTTTAAGCACAAAAGCATCGAAAGACATTAAGTTTTAAGTTTCAATAATGGCAATTTACCATAGGGTATACATTGTTGTTAACATTTTTAACAATTATAGCGCCACCTATAATGTCCGATCTCCATGAAACTTTGCATGGTTGCTGAATAAGTTATGACACAAGTGTGTACCAATTTTTGTGAAGTTCTGACTTTTCCTTTAGGATTTATAGGCTTTTGGGTGCATTTTGTCATGCCCCCTTTTGTAAATGACCCTGTTATAGCAAAACAAATGACAAATCTCAAATTTTTTTGATAATTATTGATCTAGAGAGTCCAAAAAATTGTCCTAGACTGGTCTGGTTCCGATCGGGCAAAAAACCAGGGACTAGTTCGCAAAATTAGGTTTTAACATATTTGTGAATATTTAACGAACAATTTGATTGACAGCAATGGTTCTAGAGGCAAAGTTGTTCATCATGAGGAGATCTATCAAATGAAATTGCATTTCGTGGGGATGTGCGCAACACCTCGTGATTACAGAGCCATAAAACTCGTTAGCGCCAACTAATGGCCGATTTCTTTCAAAATTGTTACAGACCTTTAGGGCCATGAGTTGAACATGCCCATCGAGTTTCGTTGCGATCGGCCTTCGATAACCTTGTTTCATAGGTGCTCAAATTTTTTACAGCCAATACTGGCAATTTACCATAGGAAACATATGGTTTTAAAGCTTTTTAACAGTTATAGCACCACCTATAGTCCGATCTCAATGAAACTTTGCATGCTTCTTTGGCATGTTATGACACATATGCTCATCAATTTCTGTGAAGTTCTGAGTTTTCATTTAGGATTTATAGGCTTTTGGGTGCATTTTCTCACGCCCTTTTTCTAAATGACCATTTAACACCATGCGCAAATTTAAAAAGTTCACAATTTTTTTGATAATTATTGATCTAGAGAGTCCAAAGAATTATCCTAGACTGGTCTGGTTCCGATCGGGCAAAAAACCAGGGACTAGTTCGCAAAAGTAGGTTTTTAACATATTCGTGAATATTTAATGAACGATTTGATTGACAGCAATGGTTCTAGAGGCAAAGTTGTTCATCATGAGGAGATCTATCGAATGATATGCATTTCGTGGGGATGTGCGCAACAACACGTGATTACAGAGCCATAAAACTCGTTAGCGCCAACTAGTGGCCGATTTTTTTCAAAATTCTTACAGACCTCTAGGGCCATGAGTCGAACATGCCCATCGAGTTTCGTTCCGATCGGCCTCCGTTAACCCTGTCTCATAGTTGCTCAAACTTCATTGGCCGATGGCGGCCATGTTTTTTGAGATACGCCAATGTCCTCAGACACATACATGGGGCCTTGGTCCAAGACACTGCATAACAATTTTCAAGTCAATTGGGGTAAAGGTCATGTGGTCATAGCCCTTTTTATGTTTTTTTAATGTTATAGCGCCAACATGTGGCCAATCAACGCCGTTTTTTTACTGTGACCTTAAAATGTCCTCCTACACAAGTGTTTTGAGTTTGGTGAAGATATGTCATTTACTTCTCGAGTTATAGACATTTTTGTAAAATAGAATCCTCCCACAACGATCAATTTGCGCCCCCTAGCAACCCTGAATACAAATTTCAACATGTTTTCGATAATTATTGATATTCAGACTCCATAGAACATGTATGCACTGGTTTGGTTCCGATCGGGTAAAAAACCAGGGACTAGTTCGCAAAAGTAGTTTTTCGACAAAATTCAAAATGGCGGAAAAATTTGCATACCGGAAATGAAATCGGAGATATACGTTTTTTTCGTCAGGTGACCAGCTTTCCAACGATATAAGACACTTGAGTGTACGACTTACGGTCTAGGAGTTATGAGCAGTTTCGCGCAATTGGTCGCTATAGCGCCACCTATGGGCCAATCGGGCTCATAATTTGATAACCTCTCCTCGATTTTTGTACTACCATTTGACAAAGTTTCAGAGCTGCAGCACTTACGGTTTGGTCTGCACGATGCGTTTTACGGCAGAATAATAATAATAATAATTAAAGCTGCAAGCAGCATTTAGCGGGGTTCAAGCAGTTCAGGCCTTTAAGGCCTTTAAGCACAAAAGCATCGAAAGACATTAAGTTTTAAGTTTCAATAATGGCAATTTACCATAGGGTATACATTGTTGTTAACATTTTTAACAATTATAGTGCCACCTATTGTCCGATCTCCATGAAACTTTGCATGGTTGCTGAATAAGTTATGACACAAGTGCGTACCAATTTTTGTGAAGTTCTGACTTTTCCTTTAGGATTTATAGGCTTTTGGGTGCATTTTGTCATGCCCCCTTTTGTAAATGACCCTGTTATAGCAAAACAAATAACAAAGTTCAACATTTTTTGATAATTATTGATCTAGAGAGTCCAAAGAATTGTCCTAGACTGGTCTGGTTCCGATCGGGCAAAAAACCAGGGACTAGTTTGCAAAAATAGGTTTTTAACATATTCGTGAATATTTAACGAACAATTTGATTGACAGCAATGGTTCTGGAGGCAAAGTTGTTTGTCATGAGGAGATCTATCAAATGCAATTGCATTTCGTGGGGATGTGAGCAACACCACATGATTACAGAGCCAAAAATCTAGTTAGCGCCAACTAGTGGCCGATTTCTTTCAAAATTCTTACAGACCTCTAGGGCCATGAGTCAAACATGCCCATCGAGTTTCGTTCCGATCAGCCTCCGTTAACCTTGTCTCATAGGTGCTCAAATTTTTTACAGCCAATACTGGCAATTTACCATAGGAAACATATGGTTTTAAAGCTTTTTAACAGTTATAGCGCCACCTATAGTCCGATCTCAATGAAACTTTGCATGCTTCTTCGGCATGTTATGACACATATGCTCATCAATTTCTTTGAAGTTCTGAGTTTTCATTTAGGATTTATAGGCTTTTGGGTGCATTTTCTCACGCCCCTTTTCTAAATGACCATTTAACACCAATGCGCAAATTTAAAAAGTTCAACATTTTTTTGATAATTATTGATCTAGAGAGTCCAAAGAATTATCCTAGACTGGTCTGGTTCCGATCGGGCAAAAAACCAGGGACTAGTTCGCAAAAGTAGGTTTTTAACATATTCGTGAATATTTAATGAACGATTTGATTGACAGCAACGGTTCTAGAGGCAAAGTTGTTCATCATGCGGAGATCTATCGAATGATATGCATTTCGTGGGGATGTGCGCAACAACACGTGATTACAGAGCCATAAAACTCGTTAGCGCCAACTAGTGGCCGATTTTTTTCAAAATTCTTACAGACCTCTAGGGCCATGAGTCGAACATGCCCATCGAGTTTCGTTCCGATCGGCCTCCGTTAACCCTGTCTCATAGGTGCTCAAACTTCATTGGCAGATGGCGGCCATGTTTTTTGAGATACGCCAATGTCCTCAGACACATACATGGGGCCTTGGTTCAAGACACTGCATAACAATTTTCAAGTCAATTGGGGTAAAGGTCATGTGGTCATAGCCCTTTTTATGTTTTTTTAATGTTATAGCGCCACCATGTGGCCAATCAACGCCGTTTTTTTACTGTGACCTTAAAATCTCCTCCTACACAAGTGTTTTGAGTTTGGTGAAGATATCTCATTTACTTCTCGAGTTATAGCCATTTTTGTAAAATAGGCTCCTCCCACAACGATCAATTTGCGCCCCCTAGCGACCCTGAATACAAATTTCAACATGTTTTCGATAATTATTGATATTCAGACTCCATAGAACATGTATGCACTGGTTTGGTTCCGATCGGGTAAAAAACCAGGGACTAGTTTGCAAAAGTAGTTTTTCGACAAAATTCAAAATGGCGGAAAAATTTGCATACCGGAAATGAAATCGGAGATATACGTTTTTTTCGTCAGGTGACCAGCTTTCCAACGATATAAGACACTTGAGTGTACGACTTACGGTCTAGGAGTTATGAGCAGTTTCGCGCAATTGGTTGCTATAGCGCCACCTATGGGCCAATCGGGCTCATA